TTTCGATCTCACCAGATGAGGACGGATGAAAATCGTTGTACTGCAGCCGTTTAGCTTTGATATTATATTCCCGAAACGAGGGAGGAATACTCGTGGACTGCGTCAACATGAATATGATATCAAAGTTAAACGGCTGCAGTACAACGATTTTCATCCGTCCTCATCTGGTGAGATCGAAAAACGAATCTCTTCTCCATGTACTTTCATTCGAAATGAAGGTCCCCCTAACAATAAAAATAGTTCATCTGCCTCAACTTTAAATATTAGTGCCAAAGCTCAAACTGTAATACTATTGCTATATGACTCGAGTTTACCTTTTGTCAAATGATCTGAATATGACTTGTTCTTTCAGTGCTTCATTCATAAAATTACAACAAATTTGCCCATGAGTTTATGTTAAGAAAGACTACAACTAGGTATTACACATAATTTTGCCGAGGCAGGATAAATTCAGCATTCTATTTGTATTCTTCTAATCTCCGATGCTTGCCGATGTCTAATATTTTTAATTAAATTTCCCATATCATCACTTATGCCTGCAGCACGCCTCCAGACTTAGTTGGGCTGTAGCAAATCATACGCCCGTTCAAGCGTTTATTGTCCATTATCGTCTCTTTGCAGTGTGTGTGGTGAGATGTCCGGTCAAATTGCATACCAAATTATTACAAGGATGCAGCTAAGAGAGAAAGTAACGGATGAGACTGTGGGATACAAGTGGAAGGAGTGGCTGTCGAGTGACCTATGGTGGAGGACTGGTGGATACGCGAATGTATAAGGAGAAAAGAGTGTGTGGTTAGACTAAGGAGTTTTTGAGTGGTCTTATGGGATGGAAACGGAGGGAAGTGGGGAGAGGTGAAGAAGTGAGTAGGGTCTGGATACCAGTATGGGTGGCCGATGGAAAGGAGGGCTAATAGCCGGCTGAACTTTGGCTGAACGATACCTTACAACTGGTTTCCAGCAGACGGATTGGCTACATGCCTCGACGATCACGAAAATGAGGGGTGTCTTAGATGAAAACTGCCAAAAAATGTGCGCAAGAGAGAGACGGCTTGGATGTGCATTTGTATGTGT